TTGGAAGCAGGCCGGCTTGAACAGTGGTGATGCGCTCTCTGCTCCCACAGAATGCAGGATGTTGCTTGAAGAGGCACCTGAGAGCATTTCTTTTGCACTTGGGTGTACATTTTGTCCTCAGCTAAGGCTGTGGCTAGACCTAATTTTTGGCACTGGAAAAAAAAGCAGGCTAAGAGAATCTGCTCTGTGTTAGGGATTTAGAAATCCTTGGCCTTGAGGAGTGGCTCAGTGTCCCCAACATTGTCTCCCATTGCCTAGTTTCTCGGCTTTGTGATTCTTCCGGAGGGTGTGGCTGGGCTGCTGATAATTGGCAGTAGACATGGAAGAGAGAAAACCCGGTGACTTCCTTGCTTTGAACCTGAGCCCCTGCTGAAAATGAACATTTTGGCACTTTCCTTTCCTTCCTGCTCGACTCGGGCTCCTGGAAGCCCTTGCCCCTGAAACATAGCCCAGCCACCTGGCTGGGCCTGCCCTCCCAAGGGCACTGGTTTTGGAGGATGTGGCAAGGTGGGAGCTCACGCCTGCCACGCTGCTCCCCTAAGTGCCACACCAGCAAGGGGCAGGCACACGATTTCGCCACCAACACCATTTCGCAGCATCTTTCCTGTGCCAGACACCACACAGGCTCTAGGGAAGAGGCAGGGAACACACTATTATAATGACCACTGCCCTCATGGAACCAGCTGCCTAGTGGAGGAAATGGACAATAAGGCCGCAAGTGAATAAATTATGATTTCAAAAAGCAATAAGTGCTTTGGACAGAATAAAACAGGATAATGGGATAGAGAGTGGCTGGCGATGCAGGCTGGAGGGTGTGCTGTTTTAGCCCAGATGGTCAGGAAAGCACTCTAAGGAGGTAACTTCTGAGCAGACAACTGAATGAGGAGGAAGCAGTTGTATCAGTTATCTATGGCCGTGTAACAAACCCAATCTGTGTAACAAATGCCCAAACTTAGTTTCTTAAAACAACCATTTATTATTCCACAAGTCTGCGGTTGGCCTGGGTGGTTCCTCGGTCCATTTCTCCTGGTCAGACATGTGGCTGCATGTAGCTGGAGGCACAGCTGGGCTGCAAAGTCCAAGGCCTCACTCTCGCATCTAGTAGATGATGCTGGTTATTGGCTGGGACGCCTCAGCTCCCCATCACAGGCCACTCATTCTCCAGTCGGCTGCCTTAAGTGGAGGTCTAGGGGCAGCATTCTAAGAGGGTGAAAGCAGAATCTGCAATGCCTCTTGAGACCTAAGCTCCTGAACTCATAAAAGATCACTTCTGTCACATTCTGTTGTCAAAGTAAATCACAGGGCCAGCCTGGATTCAAGGAGTGGGGAAAGAGACACTACCTTTTTTTTTTTTTTTAAAGATTTTATTGGGGAATTGGGGAAGGGGAACAGCGCTGGGGAATCAGGGGAAGGGGAACAGACAAGTTGCTGTCCTTTTGTTCTTCAGTCTAGTTGTGGAGGACGTTGCTTCACTAGCCCATGTTATTATCATTGCGCTCTTCCCAGCTGAGGCAGATCGGTCACTGGCCACCAGACGGCCGCTCACAGCGGCTCTTGGCAGCTCACACCGGCTGCCAGCCGCTCATGCTGGCTGCTGGCCACTCACGGTAGCTTATGGCAGCCCACTGCAGCAGAGGCTGCAGCCTACGCCGTCGCCAGTGACTCATGGCAGCCCAGCTCCAGGTCGAGCTGTTGTTCACCATCTTAGCTGTAGAGGGCAGTGTCACTGGCCCTCATATGTGGGATCCGAACTGGGCCTGCTGCTCAGAGCTGGCGTCCCAAGCCAGCTCTTAACCAACGCGCCACTCGGCCGGCCTGAGACACTACCTTTTGATGGCAAAATATTTGTGGCCATCTTTAATCTAGCACATCCTCCATGGGAAGATCTTTAGGAAGAGTATTCCAGGCAGAGGGAAAATAGGTGCAAAGGCCCTGAGGTAGGATGGGGTCCAGAGACCTGAGTTTGACCAATGGGTTCCTCCACTTCCTGTTTCCTCTTCTGTCAAGTGGAAACTAAGGATGCCTCCCTACTACCTTTATAGGCATATGGGATATAGAAGGCATTGCTTTATGGCAGGGTTAGGATTTTGTTTATTGGCCACTGAGTATGAGGAGAATCAAACACAGGAGCTTGGTCTGGCATCCTCTAAGCTCACCAGAAAATGTGGACCACCATCTGGCAAGAAGGCACAGTGCTGGGCAGTGCAGGTCACAGGAGCATCTGAGGGGTGCTGATCTTGCTGAACTTATGGGCTGAAAAGATTGCTCACTGAGCAAGACGGTGACTGAGCTGGAAGGGTTGGGGGCCCCAGGGAAGGCCTGGAGGAGGTGCAATTCCAACAGGGCCTTGAAGGGCATGTAGGATTTGGCTGAATGAGGGGGAACTGTCAATAGGGGATGTGCAGGGGGCTGTGAAACTTAGCAGTTCAATGCAACAAATGTTTGCTGATCCCCTACTCTGCATTAAGTAAACAGGACAGGCAGAGGACTTGGGACAAGGCAAGGCGTCCTGGGAACCCAGAGGCAGTGCCATCCAGGCCTGGAGAGCCAGGAAGGCTTGCAGGAGGAAGAGGCAATACCTCAGAGGCCTGAAGGATGAGTCAGGTCAAATACAGTGGGGTAGAAGGAGGAATAGAAGGTACCAAGAGGGTCCCAGTGGAAGGAACAGCATCTCCAAAGGCCAGAGGGGAGGGAGAACTTGGGATTTTCATGTAAAGGCAGGCAGTTGTGTCCGAAGCAGACAGTTCATGTGGAAGAGAGGGAAAGGAGGAGCTTGGGTCCCAAATGGGTCTGTGCACCAATGAAAGACTCCAGCCTTTTTCTTTTCTCTTCTTTTTTTTAAAAAAGATTTTATTGGGGAATTGGGGGAGGGGAACAGCGTTGGGGAATCGGGGAAGGAGAACAGACAAGTTGTTGTCCTTTTGTTCTTCAGTCTAGTTGTTGAGTATGTCACTTCACTGGCCCATGTTGGTATTATCATTACGGTCTTCCCAGGTGAGGCAGTCGCTCGCCGGCCATTGGACGGCCACTCACGGCGGCTCACGGCCGCTCACGCTGGCTGCCAGCCAGTCACGGTAGCTCATGGCAGCCCACTGCAGCCCCACTGCAGCCTACGCCGTCGCAGGCGACTCACGGCAGCCCAGCTCCAGGTCGAGCTGTTGCTCACCATCTTAGCTGTAGAGGGCACAGCGTCAGTGGCCCTTCATGTGGGATCCGAACCGGGGTCCTGCTGCTCAGAGCTGGCATCTCAAGCCAACTCTTAACCAGTGCGCCACTTGCCCGGCGCCCCAACCTTTTCCTTGAAGGCAGTTTGGGTAGGATTGCCAGGTTTAGCAAATAAAAACACAAGTTGTCCTGTTAACTTTGAATTGCAGATAAACAACGAATAATATTTTTAGTATAATTATGTGCATGCAACATTTGAAACATCCTTAGCCTAAAAAATTACCATATTTCCCCACGTATAAGATGCACCCTTTTTCGAAAAATTTGGGGTCTAAAAACTGGGAGTGTCTCATGCAGTGGTTGTATGAGTGCAAAAACAAGTGTGAAAAAAGCGGGAAATGCAAGTTAAAAAAATCTACAACCACTGTATAAGATGCACCCAGTTTTTAGACCCCCAATTTTTTGAAAATGGGTGTGTCTATACATCGGGAAATACGGTATTCATTATTTATCTGAAATTCAGTTTTAACCAGGCCTCCTGTGTTTTCTCTGGCAGCCTTAAGTTTGTGGCTTAACAGAAGGGTTTTAAGCAGAGGGTGACATGGTTGGATTTATATTTTGGGAAGCTCCCAGGATTTGTGGGAAACATCCTGGAAGGAGACAGGAAGGGGTGAAAGAGTCCCATTGTCCAGGCCAGAGAAGTGGAGTCCCTGCCAGGGAATGAGAACATCTCACCACGTCACCTGCCTCCCAGACCGGGCAGGCAGCCTTGGATAAATCCCTCAGCTGACGCAGTCTCATGCAGGTGACTGCAGACAGGTCAGACCCCAGCTCTGCTATGTGAGCCTCTGGGCTGGTCTGCTCCCTCCTGGGCCCTCAACATCTTCATCTGTTGAATGATGGGTCAGGTGATCAGAAGAGATGGTCCATAAGGGCCATTCCATTCCTGCCATCCTGGGCTCTCTGTCCCTTCTCTCTCTAACATCTCTCCTGGGTATTGCCCCACCATGATGACAAGTCCAAACTTGAGACGGTTGGCTCCAAAGACACCACTCCTGTGCCCCCTCGCTCTTTCCTCTCTGCTGTCACTCTGGGCAATTAATGCATGAAGCAACCCTGCATCTTCTCTCTCCAACCTCAGGCCCCACACCTGGTTTGGAAGAAGGACTCAGCATTTGCTGAGGTCCTACTATGTGCTGAGCTATGTCCTCTATATCACGTATCTCATTTAATCCTCACAACAGCTCCTCATGGAAGGTATTATCATGCCCATTTCACAGATTAGAGAACTGAGGCTCAGCGGTACAGTTGCTGCCCAGGTCACACAGCTGTGCAGTAAAAACCTGCATGGAGTCCAGGTCTGGCTGGTGCCAGGGCTCTGTCCTCCTACCATCTCCAGGAAGTGTCCCTGGGGAACCCCTAATCCCCCATATATTTATCACTTGGGCTCAGTCAGCAGTCTCTTTGTCCCACTGTCGGCACATGTTGCCCTGGCTTTTTCTGAGTTAATCCAGGGACTAAAATGGGCCAATGTAATGCTTATCTACTGGGGGGCTTTCCGGTTTATGAAGCCCTTTCCCAGCAGTGCCCTCCTCACGACCCCGACCCCACGGAGACTCTGCATGGCCCCCTCCAGCTCTTTTAGCCTGCAGCTCTGCCACAGCGAAGGCCACATTAAATATTAACAGGGCAGCTCCTGGCACTGCTGTGACGTCAATTACTGGGCTGCTTGGTGAGGGCCGCGGCTGCCTTTCCAAGAGGAAGCAGTGACCGGAATTCAGCTGGCTCAAATGGCATCCCTGGGGGCTGGCTGTCAGGACTCAAGAGAAGATACTGCTAATGTAAGGCGTGGCAGGAGCTCTAAAGCCTTCTTCCCATCTCCCGACTCCCTCAGGGCCCAGTGGATTCCTGATGCTGATACAAAGCACTCAGTTATTTGGGAAGTATTTATTGATCACCTGCTGTATGCCAAGCACAGTGCTAGGCTCTGGAGATACCTCTGTGAGCGTGATAGTCCCTGAATCATGGGTCCCTGTTTGGTAGAGGAGATGAAGAAACAGTCTCAATGCAGAGGGGCAAAACCCAGTATGGTGCTGGCCCAGCCTGACGCAGAGGGGTCCTTCCAAAGGAAGCTAGAGTTGTGCTGAAACCTAAAGAAGGAGCTCTGAGTTAGGTATGGAAAGAGAAGCGGGGAGCTCAGCTCCTGGTTCCACCCCTTCCTAGCCATTTACCTGCAAATTGGGTCCCCACCTCACAGGGTTGCTATGAGGATTACATGAAGCCATGGCTGGCGATAGCACAGGGTTCGATGCATAGAGAGCTCAGGGGGATCTATTATGAAAAGAGCTCATTTTTGTGCCTTTTTGTAAGTTCTCCACCCTGTCAGGAATTTCTTCCCCCATTTGGTGAGCAAAGAAACTGATGCTCAGAGAGGTGACCTGACATGACCAGGGTTATACTGTGGATTGCACTCCAGACTGGGCGGTGACCCCACGGTCTGACTTGGGCTTTTGGATCCTTCTCTAGTCATAGAATGCAAGCAGTTGTCTCCACCCGATGAGACACAGACTCTCACCAGCAAGCCCAACGTGAGGTCCTCAGCTGCATTTCCAAGGCTGGTCTCTGTCTTCTTCAAGGTAAGGCTGAAGCTGTCCAAGGACAAGCCCAAGCCTGGGCTTTGGGATGCCTGGGCAGAGACCTGGTTCTGCTGCTAACCTGTGGTGTGACCGTGAGTTACTTTCTGTCTCTGAGCCTCAGTTTCCAAAAGTTAATACTAATATCAGCTGTCATTGCCTGGGTCTCTGATCCTCCCAACAGGGCTGTGGCAAAGGAATAATTTTTGATTCCATATTAAAGATGAGGAACCAGTCTGATAGGGGCAAAGTGACATGCACAAGGCGACACAGCAAGTGGGGGGCCGGATTTGGGGCCAGGCCCGGCTGCCAGCAAAGCTGGCAGTGCACTGTGCACTGTGCTATCTCTCAGAGTAAGAAAGCCAACCTGAGTTGTCTCCAAGATCCTTATTATGAGTCTGTGATTCTGTGAGTTCCCTGCTGCCCCCAGGCCTACAGGGCCCAGTGATTTCATGGGAAGGGCATTTGAGGTTGGTCTGATCCTCCAAATGTCCCTATATAACAGAGGTAACAGCACTGTCACAAGAGTCTGCTAAGCAACACCCAAGCTCTCCCTTCTCTTGGCAGCAGCTTCCCCTAGCTGGAATGGCAAGCACTGTTGCAGGGTGCCCATTTGGTGGACGAGGAAACTGAAGCTCAGAGATTTGCCCAGGCTTCTCCAGTTACTGTGGGAAAGCTGGGATTTGGGGAGGGTCTGAGTACCTGCAAAGTGGCCAAATTCAACCTGGAGCCCTCCTCCTCCTTTCAGCCCCCTCCTGGCTCCTGCAATCTTGCCTTCTTCCCCCTTGCTCCCTCCCCTGTCTTAGCTTCCGCTCAGCTGTCAATCAGTTAGATGTTGACTGATTTAAAGCGTTCCCCTAAAAGACCTGGACCACCCACCAAGAGGGCTCTAGTGGGGGCATTTCTACAATATACACAAGGTATGATCAGATTCAATTCAGCATCTGTGGAGAGGCCCCTGAGCACCTCAGGGACTCAGATGATGAATGAAACACAGGCCCTATCCTCTGGTGTTTGCATTCTGCAAGGGAAATGACAGTTTCCTAAGGAAGTGGGAAGCAGGTGGTATAAGTGACAAAGCTCATGAACTTTATAGTCAGAAAGACCTGGGTTCAAACCCTGACTCTGCCTCTTCTAGCTACATGACTCTGGGTAAGTGAGCTTTAGTTTCCTCATCTTTTTAATGGGTATGAGAGGAATGCCTACCTCATAATTTTCATGAGGATTAGACGAGATCATATATTAGATTAACTCGCATAGCATAGTACTCGATGCCTGGTAGCTGGCCAGAAAACACCAATCCTACCAAAAGAACTCCATGCAGATGGTGGATACCAGAGTCACAGTGGGAGTGGGAAAAAGGGGAGAGTGCTTCTTGATGGGGAACTAACTGGGAAGGCTCCTTAGAGGAAGTAAGATTTCAGCTGGGCATAAAGGATTTAAGAAGCAGAGTAAGAGGTGGAGGAATCAGAAGGGATATTCTGGTTGGTAGAAATTTGTGGGCAGCGTCTGGGAACCTGGTGGGTCTAGGATGTCCAGGGAGTGCGTGATGAGCTTGGAAAGGTGGGCCAGGTCAGGTTATGAAGGACAAGGTAGAACGGAGCATGTATCTTTTAAAGGGGAAGGGGTCTTACCTCTGACCCCAGTGGCAGCTCAGTGCTGTGTCTGCGGAGGCCAGTGCTCTGGAGTCAGCCTTCTCCTCTGGCTTTGGTCCTCCCAGATCCCTTTGTTTCCAGAGTTGGGGCCAGCCTGCCACTGTTGTCTGGAAGACAGAAGCCTGTAGCAATCTGCTCACCACCTACTAACATACTGGGAGGAAAAGATTTTTTTTGCACAGTTGTTTGGCAAGAAACCTTGGTGAAAACTCAGCGACCCTTTCCCTTAGTCCCCAGGGTACTGTTTAAGCAGCGGGTAATGACAGTTATGCTCACAGCTCTCAAACTCTCAGGTCAGAGGCAGCAGTGGAAAGAATAGTGAAGGTAGAGCAGGTCTGGATCCTGGTTCCTGCCCCCTGTGCTGCAGTTAGGCAGGACTCTTAACTTCCCTGGGCCTCAGTTTCCTCATCTGTAAAATGGGAACAATAATATTGATCTTACCTTAACCAAGAGGGCGCTCACTGGAAAATTGCTTCCCTGTGATCTGCTATGGAGGAGGTACTTGTTACCTTCCTCCATTCTGTGTACAGAGATCGTCCAAACACTGGTTCTATGAAGCACCCCTGTTCATCCTCTTGAGTTTGCTGAACTGCCAATGATGAAATACCTTACACTTTCAGAGCTGGAAAAAAGAAAGAACTCTGCTATCCACCTGTGCAGCCTCCCATTTCATAGATAAGAAAGCCAAGGCTCAGAGAGAGTAAGTCACGACACTCTTGGCCCAGTCCTCCAGCTTTCTTGGACCACATAGCCCTTCCCACCTGGGCCCACCTTGTGGGAACCACACAGAAGCTTGAGGCAATTATCCAGATGGTTCCAGCCAAAAGATCTAGAAAATTCTGGCTAAGGAACACGAACTCTTTGAGCATCTGCAGAACTGAAGCAAAAGCCTTTTCCACCCTCGTTTTAACTGTGATTCCACAGCTTCTCCTTGTCCTCCAGAGCTGAGCTCCTCTGAACAAGCTTGAGGGGGGGGGTGCTGAGAATGGGGCTCCAAGCTCCACCAGCTCACAGATTGCAGCTACCAGGTCATTTTCGCACTTCTTAATGCCAAAAACTGCCTTGGGAGCTGATTGGCTCCCAAAGCAGGCTTCGCAAGAATGGCAGAAGGCTCTGGATGAGCCTGAAATCTGTGTGTTCAGGCCGATCTGAGACACAGGGGATGGAATTTGGTACCAACAAAAGGACACTGGAGCAGGAAGTGGGCATGAGTGGGGGGCTGCAGGTAACTGCCTTGACCACTGAGCAAGCACCTGACCTTTCTAGGTCTCATTTTCCTTATCTGTATAATGGGGATAACAATATCCTTTTGAGAGTTGTGGGGCTTTGGTGAGATGATATATGGGGGTTAAATGTTTACCCTCAAGCCAGGTAAACAGCCAGTGATTAATCAACTAGAGTTGCTATTGATGGTGGTGTTATCTATTTATTTATTTATTTATTTTTTAGCTGAGCCATCCTGCTACCTGCTGGCAGCTCAGCGGCTACTCAGCTCGGGCTGGACTGGAACCGCTAGTTGCTCAGGATGGTGGTGTTATCATTGGCTTGGGATCAGCAAAGTCACTGGCAGCAGGAGACCTGCGTTTAGGGGAAAAAAAATTAAAATCCTATCTGGGTGACACCAATCTGTGGGCAGGAGTCCCCTCCTGCTCAAGATGGTAACCATGCCAACAATGTGAATGCCATCTCTTCCAGAACAATACCAGGTCTTCCTTGTAATATGTCCCTTGGTGTCCAGACTTCTCAGGGAGCTCAGTGTGTCCCAGAGTACCTAAGCGAAAAAACAGGATGTGCTTTTTCTGGGTCACCTATTCATTGGGCTCTGGCAGAGGGTTCTGGCAATGCTTTGGAAATCCAATTCCACATGAGGAACAGTCATTACCACTGGCTCAGGGTGGGACACAGAAAAGAATTATTATATAGCTGTGATGGCTGGTGTCCCCTATGTGCTCTTGCTGATCCCCAACCCCAAGAAACAGGTATAGATAGTCCTGTTTTACAAGTGGTTTGCTTAAGGGTACTCAGCTGGTAATTGGCAGAGCAAGATTTGAACCCAAGTCCAGATCCTTCTCTCTCATCACACCACACACATGTCCTCAGGTAGCCAGGGGAATTTGCTCTATTCTGCAAGTGAGACCCGAAAACACAGCAGACCTGGCCCTGGCACTGGGGACCTGCTCTGAGCTTTGGGGCAACATAGCACGTATGACCTTAATCATCAGCCCCCTTCACCTGGCTCAGGGGCTCTTCTTGGAGTTGTTCAAAGGCCATGTTTCTTGATGGGACTTAAAACCCTGGGAGTAGGTGACCTGTCCAAGGTGGTCGTCCTGGTGTTTATTTAAGAGGCTTGGAGAGTTGGCAGCCTTCTCCCAAAGGTGGAGAAGACGGGTGCTGCTAGGAATGTGTACACTACAAGAGGGGAGGCCTGTGTGTGCTTTTCACCTGAATGACCACCTCCCCCCAAGAGGAGTCATACCTTGACCCCTTCTCACTTAACACCACAGGGCAGCATGGGCCCATCAGGCTTGGGAGTCTGACAGACCAGAGTTTAAATCCTGGTTCTACTGATGACCAGCTATGTGACTTTATTCACGTCATGGAACATTTTCAAGCTAGTTTCATCTGTGAAATGGGAATGGAAACTGTACCTACTTTATGGGGGTATTTAAGGGAAAAAAACACACTCATTTCTGCAAATCTTCTTGCCCAGTGTTGGGAATGTGGTAGATGTTCCCTTCCTCTCAAGAGTGGGTGTGGATGAGGTCACCCAGAGTGAGAAGAGGGCCTGTGCCAGAGCCCTGAGGAACCCCAGCATTTCAGGGTAGGCTGAGAAGACAAGCCCACATAGGAGACGGAAGAGGAGCGGCCAGAGCAGCAGAGGGAAGCCAGGAGAGTGCAGGGTCATGAAAACTAAGAGGGCCAGGAAGGTGAGGACTACGAATGACCTTGGATTTGACAACAACAGGCCACTGGTGGCCACAGTGAGGGCCATCACGGGGCAGGAGTTGGGGCAGAGCCAGAGTAGACTGGGCTGAAAGGTGGTGGGAGGTGAGGAAGTGCAGACAGTGAAGCTTGGTGAGAAGGAAAGAAAGGAAATCAATTAGAACATTCCAGTCTACCAATTTTCACTGTTCTGAAATCAATCTTAGTCCAAAATAATCAGAAAAGCTGGAAGGGCTCTAACCCCTCTCAGAGTTGGAAGGAACCCCCAGTGCTGGTCCTCTTCCCACCTCTCACTGGAACCCTATCCTCATGGAGGGCAGGGTTGGTGGGGAACAGTTATTATCTATCAGGCTCTTTAAACATATTCACTAGAGGAAACACCAGCCTGGTTTGTTAACTTTGATTCCATTTGTAGTTAGCAAAGGTGACTCTTCAAAGCATGGTGAAATTTGGGGTGGGGGCCTCCCCCTAGACTTACACTCAAATGCTGTTTCATGGGTCCTCATTTTAGCATCACAGTGGGGAGAAGAAGGCCGGGTAGGCAGGAGACCTGGTTTGGAGGCCTCAGCTCTGCTTACTCGCTGTGCAAACTGGGGCCAGCCTCTCCTCCCGCTCAGATCTGTTTCCCCTGTATGCAGGATAAAGAGTTGGACAGCTTTGACTTCTAAGAGCCCTGCCAGCTTTCACATTCCAGGATTTCTGTTCTATAGTGCTTTTAACAGTCCTTCAAAGTCCAATTTCCAGATGGTAAAACTAAGATCCAGAAAAGATGCACTCTCCAGTTCCTCCATTCTTCTTTCTAAAGCATCTTACTCACCACAGCAAGATTCCTGAAATATGCCTTGCACACCTCTGGTGGTTCCCCATTACCTAAGGACAATGCCTCAGATCTTCAGCCTGTCATTGAAAACACTCCATAATCTTGTTTTACCCAACCTCATTTCCCACTGCCAGGCCTCTCTTACCATTTGGTTTCTATCCTCACTGACAAGCCTTTGCCTATGTTGAACCCCAATCCCTAATACCTTTTCCCTGACTGTCATCTCCTTCAAGGTCCAGCCTATCTGCCCTGGTGTATTTAGATCTCAGCTTCTGAGGCAGTGGGAGCAGCTGCTGAACGGCTGCTGGACTGGCATGGGGGAGCAGTGGGAGTGGGAGGGGGGAAGGGCTGCATCTTACTTATTCTGTAGCTACTCCTACCCCCAGGGCTGAGCATGCAGTAGGTGTTCAACAAAATTCTCAGAGAGCCTAAGGTCCCTTATCCTGTGCTGTCCTTAACATGTTGTACTTAAGTCAGAGCCTGTTTTAGTTACTGGGATTTTCCTAGCTTGTTCCTGGCCCAGCTCAGGGCCTGGCACAAAGTACCCTCAACATGGAATGCCAGGACTGGGATGGGTTTAGTGACCAGCTAGGCGGTCCACCCCCTTTTTGCCACAAAAGGAAGTCCAGCCTGGGTTTGAACTCAGATCCTGGCCCCACCACTTACTTACAGGCTGTGTAACCTTGAGTTAGTCACTAACCTGGCTTTGAAAAATGGGGCAACCAGCTGTGCCCACCTGCGGGGAGGACTGTGAGGATTAAATAGTATTATACCTGTAAAGGCATTGCACTGGGCCGGCTCCAAGTAGGTGTGCCACGAGTTACTCGTCCCAGAAAGGCCACCCAGTCCTTCCTCTCAGGGAAGGCACAGTATGCCGCTTATCTGGGTGGGGCAGGAGCGAGTGCGCGCGCGCGCGCGCGCGCGTGTGTGTGTGTGTGTGTGTGTGTGTGTATGTCCTCAAAGCCTGTACCCGATCTGGCCCGGGCCAGTGCAGATCCAAGCGCAGGGTGTGGCCCAGCGGAGCCCATCCGAGGGAGGAGCGGGGCATGGGGCAGGCGAGACCGCAGGGCAGGTTCAACCCGCCCCTCTGGGCACGCAGCCTCCCGAATTCTCCAAACACTAGGTTTATTTGCTTTTTGGGCCCTTCTCAAGCCAGACCTCTAACCCGGATTCAGAGGCGCTTTTCAGGGTGGGGCTGTGCCAATGCGCTGCCTGCAGAGCAGCCATCGCCTCGCCCCCTCCTCTGGCCCACAGTACCCACCCCGCACTTCCCTCTCCCGCCTCCACCTATGCGGCAGTAAAATGCAGCACCCGCAGGGCGCCTGCGCGGCTCTGGGGCGGGGCGGCGGCGGCAGTTATTTATAGTAGGTGACGTCACCTTGAAATAGACCGTTAGGGCCAACCCGCCCCTCCCCCCTCCCACTCCCGCCGCTTCAGGCTGTCCGGCCGGGCCGCTCTCACTGCGCAGGCGTCCTCCCGTCCTCCCATCCCCCACGCGCGGCCGCCTCTCCTTCTTCCGCGGCGTCAACGGCGCCAGCCACAGCGCGAGCGACGAGCCAGAGAGAGAGCGCGATCCCCTGCGCTGCCTGCAGCCTGAGCCTTGGGCCGGCCGGCTAGCCAGTGCGCGTGCGCGGCGGCGGCCTCCGCGGCGACCCGGGAGCAGACAGGAGGGCGGGCGAACAAACGAGCAGGGCGCGAGGCGAGGCCGAGCCACGAGCGACATGGGGGACCGGGAGCAGCTGCTGCAGCGGGCGCGGCTGGCAGAGCAGGCGGAGCGCTACGACGACATGGCCTCTGCCATGAAGGCGGTGAGCGCGCCGGTAGCTCGGGCAGCGGCCGGGGGGCCCGGCGTAGGGGAGGTATGGGAGGCCGGGCGGCGTCACCCTCCAGGCCCCGGGCGACCCCGCGACCCCGCTGGGCATCCGGCCAGTTCCTGCAGCCTGGCACTGCCGGGGTCGCGCGTGCGGCCCCGTGGGGACTGGCGGGTAGGGGTCACCATATCCTAGCCCGGAGCCCTGCGTGGCGGGGAAGGAGTGCCCGAGGAAACGTGAGGCAGCCACATTTCTCCGCTATTCCCCCACCTAGCGCGTTTTTCCAGACTTGGGGGCTCACCCGCTTCTTGCCTTCCTCCACATCCCAACTTGTGTTAAAGAATCACCTATTGAGTGGCTCCCTGTCTCCTGGTTTTCGCTGTCACGACCTATATGTAGTCTAATTCCAAACTTTGGCTGTGCTCGCCCGACTCTTCTTATGCCCGGGGTTCTGGATTTGTGTGCGGAGACCTCATCCTGCAGTCTAGGCGTGGATTCGGGTGGGAGGGCGAAGGGCGTGGGGCCCCACTCCCAGGTTTGATGCTGCGCCCATCTGCCTGAAGATTAAAATGAGACGGGACTTCTAAGTGAGAAGAGCCTGTATGCCTTTGCATTCCCGAGACTCTCAGATCGATTCTGCAGTTTGATTCCCGGCGAAGGAGTCCGGGAGCAAGCCACACACACCCTAGCAAATGCTGTGGATTAGATACCACCTGCGTTTCTGAGACTTACAGTTCCGGTTATTCTCTCACTTTCCCTGTTTCTTAACCCTATTTTACGTTTTCTCTAAATGAACATTACTTCTTTCTGCGTCACACAGTGGTAGAACTACAACTGCAGCCACCAACACGCTGTGTTCATCCCGTGCACAACCTTCTGAGACCTGGGAGGATGGGCCTGGGCCCCACCTTAGACCTAACTCTGGGGGTGGGACTCCGAAATCTGCACTTTAACCAGCTCTCATGGCAAATTTGAGTGGGAAGTTCGAGAATTACTTCCCTGGTTTATAGCTCATTTGCCTTTTTGCTGGCTTTGTGAGGGGATTTCTTAGAGAAAAAACTGCAAATCCAGAGGCACCATAAAATTTCAGAATCATTTGAAAAGCTCCTTTTAAGGCTTTTGATATTAATGTTATGTGAAGTATGCTGAGGTCAGTACTTAGGATTATCCAGGTAAGAAAAGTACTTGTAGAGCTGTGTTTCCTGTGGTGTCCTTGTTATACTTGAATTAGGTGTGTTCAGAAACCACCACCACCAGGGCCCATTTGTTGATTCAGTGGTGACTTGACCTGATGTCATGGATTAGATAGGAGCTTTTCATCCGAACCAGGGACACTCTAGGTTTGGGGTTGAAGTCTTTGTAATTCTGGGGGCCCTCCTTAAGAAAACAAATGTAAAATATATTAATTTTGGAAATTTTACAGAAACAGGACTGCATGTGTGGGTTCGTTTCTTTGGAAGGGTCCCTGAGCTTTTAATTTCTTTGAGATAAAGCCACTAACTAATATCCACAAAGCAAGTCATACTTCAGTGAGCCTCTTCTCCCCAGTGGGGAGAGAAAAAATTGGCTTTCTGGTCTTCATAAGCAGTCTTGAAAAATGCTTTCCTGCGACTTCCTACGGGAAAACTGGCTCCACAGTTTTTCTCTGAGATGTTTAAGGTGACACTTTGCGAACTATTGGACCCCTCCGTGTGTTGCAAATCTGTGATATCTGTATCTGAAATGATTGATGGGTTGGATAAGCCTTCCAGCATTGAAAATTCAAACCAAGCTGTAATCATATCATCTCAGAATTGTGATGAACCATTCTATGAAGGTAATTCCTAATAAATAAACTTTTTCAGTATACCTGTTCTGTTAAATTTTTTTGTCATTTAAATTAATGGAATATATTTATTGGAAAGGACCTGGCAAAGGTCAATGGGAAACAGCTTATGTTTTTTTTTAACCTGTTAAGTTGATGTTTGTATGTTAAATTCTTAATACTATTGAGAAGACTCGGTCTCCATTTTACTAATATCACAGGCCTTAAGAAGAGCTTTTGGAAAGTGTCTGATTCTAACCCCCTGGGTTTATATAGGTTTTCGTCAGGGCAGGTAAGTAGACTGCTCTCAGGAGGACGGAACAGTGCACCTGAGAGAGGGGATGTTCTGATGCCACCTCTCTGACCTTGAAACTTACCTCTTGCCTTTGGGTCCTGTGAATTGTAAAACTAGTAATGTTGGTGTTAACTGTCAAGTCAGTTTTTAGTCTTCATTCTCCTAACTTGTTTTCTTGTTCCTTTATAATGTAAATGGTCACCTAATATTGCCTACCTGTAATGACTGATGTTTCTTATGCTACCAGAATCACCTGGAGGATGGTGCCGGTAAGCTTTAAGAAAAATCTTTAAGAAAAATCTTGCGTATTGGACAGTGGCGTTGCCTCACGTCAACTGAGAACTGCAATTCCCTGCCTCACCCCATAATTGGAAGAGGCAAGAAATGTTTCTGAGGTGAAATAAAGGAGTGTCTTCAAGCTCTCATCTCATACCTAGTAGCTTACATAGAGTGTAAATAGTGGGAAGAAACATTGAAAGGTTCTAGAGCTCTAATCTTTTCTCAAGAATACCAATACACGGTCAGTTAGAAAGTTGACAAAGAATGGGGAGAAATGCATCTGAAGGACTTGAAGAATATCTATAGAAATTTTAAGTGCAGGAAACAAAGCTGCGGTTGAAGGAAACAGGAGTCAGAGAAGAAGAGGCACTTGGCCCAACCGGTGGCAAAAGGCTCTTATTCCAAACAGCTGTGAGATTATGGGAAGTGGGGAAACGAGCAGGTGGTCTGTAAAAGGAGAGCACGGCTGAGCGGCCTGGGGTGAGACAACCTGTGTTGCAGATACTAAAACTAAGGATGATTTTGAGGTGTACCAAAATTGTGGTTAGTGTGAAACCTTAAAGCCACATTGGTACTACAGTCTGAAATATGTACGACTATATAAACTAGTGAGCCTGTTTGCCACTAACTCGTCATTTGAAATGTAATTATCACTTGGTCATCCCTTGGGTGAGGAAGGAAGAAAGCTCTGGATTCTTGGAATAGTCTGAAGTAAAATGTACTTCAGATGGGGAACAGTTCACATAGTCTGCTGCACTGAAGTGGGAGTTGTGACCACCACCTGGGTTTGGGTTCCTGAATTATCCCCAGAAGAGCTGCCACCACTCCCTTAAAGAAGTCAAAAATGTGTTTTCTTATCTTTGCCTGGAATTTTACATTATTAGTAGAATCATTTTACTTATTAGGCACTGAGTAAGTTTTAGCCCTTATTCCATGTGAACCTTCTTACTTAATCTTTATAACTCTGGATAGATACTGTTAACTCCATTTTACAAATGAAGTTTAAAGAGTAATTTTCTCACGGTCTAGTTGTAAAGCCAGCATTTGAACTCTTGAGTTTGGAGCTCTCACTTGAACCGCTGTGTGTTAGTGTTGCATGAGGCTAAGGGTAATGTTTCTAGTATACATTCTGGTATATTAGCCTTTGTCATCATGGGTGACTAAATTATAAGCCTTTTTCATCTGGGGGTTTACTGAACACATAAGTCCCATCTATTGGGTGTAAGTAATTTTCTGCCAAGTTTGATGAGAAACAGAATCGACCACTTATGGGGTGTAGCCATAACACAGGGGCATAAAAGGCAAAGCCACACATCTGGGTTTTGCTTGTTCTCTTGAAGGCCAGCATTTATTTTAGCTCAAGAAGCAAAATACTAACTGACTTTGAGTTTCTGCTATGAATTCAGAAGTGCAGCACTATATTAAATTATACTTGCAGTATTTTAAGAAACTTCGATATCCTTGGCACCAGGTGTTTCTCTCTATTGCCTTTAATATATTTTACAAGCCCATAGACCCCCAAATGTCAGTGTCTGGGTTGCTGGTAAAATTGCTAGTGTCCCAGTTGAGGCCACCTGTCTTCTGCTCCCCTCTCCTCACTGCCATGGCATTCCCCTCTTTGGTGGTGGGTGTTGGCACTTTCCTGTGATCAGAATCTGGCATAGCTTCTGAAGGCTTCATTCTTGATATCTCCAGGGACAGTAGCATGCAGTAATGCCATTTAGATGGGCTTGTGTTTAATCCCTGCCAGTGCCTATGAAAATGTTCAGTTATGTCAAGAGCAAGACACAGGCAGTCTCTTAATGATACAGAGGTAGCTGTTTTGATCAATATTAAGCTTAAAATGGATATTAATTACCTGAACTTATCTGCTCTGACCTTGCAGTCGAGCCTCTCTGGTGGCCTTAGAGAACTGCAGCCTCACCCTGCTGGGGACAGGGCGTGGTCTTTCCAGGCCTGGGCAAGTGGTGACTGATACTGGGTGCTTTGCCAGTTTGGGACCAGGCAGAATCCTCACTTTCAGGGCTTTGACTTGGGAAAGAGGCAGCCAAAAAAGCATTCACCCCTCTAACTCACTTTTTTTCCCCCCCTTAAAACATGTATAGGGTTTTGCCAAAGAAGCTTAAAGATTTTATGATGTGGTTATGTTTACCTAATTGTTCATGAGAATCGTTTTCTTCTGCTATAATCTCTGATTATCAAAAGCAAGTTTGTTGGTCATGTGTGGGTGTGGGCAACTATAAAAGATAGGGTGGTAGCATGTGTGGTATAGCTGTGAAGGATGGGAATGCTATTTGGGAGAAGTAACAACCTCCACTGTTGTCTGGCAGCTCAGGGGTGGCATTTTTGTTTGCTCAATGTTTGAGGCTGGATGAAGAATTTTAAGTTTTCCAAAATAGTCCCTGTGCTATTTTTGGCAGTGGATCTATTTTTACACATAAACTCATAGTTTTTTGCCTTGTGAGTTAGTGGGAGGAGGAGGCCCTTAGAGATTTTTGAGTAAGCCAGTGGTGTCATAGGAAGATAAATGAAGTCGTAGTATACCAGGTTATTCATGACTTTTAGTAATGCTGCGTCGTGTTGAAGCAGAGAGAATGGGTGAAGCCAGTGCCCAGGGTTGGGAGTTGGTGTAGCCCAAGGCTGTGTGGTAAGGACACCAGTCGAATGACTGACAGGGAGTCCAGTGCTTACAAGCAATGGAGAGGAGGGCCTTTCTAAAGGGGTCAGGTTCATTAACTTAAGATTTTTCAGGGGCCGGCCGAGTGGCTCAGCTGGTTAAGAGCTCGCTCAAGAGTGCAAGCTCTGAGCAACAGCGGTTCGAGTCCCGCCTGAGCTGAGCAGCTGCTGAGCTGCCAAAAGGTGGCAGGATGGCTCAGCTAAAAAAAAAAAAGATTTTTCAGGAAGAGTATAAATAGGATTAAATGGGGTAGGGGTATGGGCAGGAGAACAAGAGGGCAGAGAGGCTGTGAGCAGAGGTGGGGAGCCACTTACAGATGGAGTAGCCACGTGAAGGCTTAGTGTCTGGAGTGGCTGCATGAGGGCAGCTGATGCATGGCGGAAATGAGAGTGTTGAAATTGGTGCTGGAGTAGAAAGAATGTTGTCTAGGTCTCTTCTATCAAAAATTCTGTGTCTTGTCTTTGCTTCATGTTTCTAATTAGAAACCATCTGGAAACTTATGATAAAGATGCAGTAAATCATCTCCATAGAATCTTCAGATGATCGCCAGTATGGTTGGGACCTGGTAGTCAGTGTTTTCTTTTCTGTTACACTTCATTGCCTCCCAGCGTCTGCTTCTCTTAGCATAGGCCCAGACTTTTCTTTAGATCTCCTGGCTCCAGGATTTTGGAATTTAAAATGTTGGGAACTGGTGCTAACTACCATATTTCCCCATGTATAAGATGCACCCTTTTTCAAAAAATTTGGGGTCTAAAAACTGGGTGCGTCTTAAACAGTGGTTGTAGATTTTTTTTTTTTACTTGCATTTCCCGCTGAGGACTAGGCAATATATGAATACCGTAATTCGTCATCAGACACAGATGAAGACAAGCTAATGGTTGGAGGTTCACAGTGATGAGTTGTATGAATTTTATGATGAATAAAACTTGAGTTTAATAACTTTATGTAATACATTTTTTTTCAAATTTCGGGACCCAAAATTAAGGTGCATCTTATACATGCATCTTATACATGGGAGCTATACATGGGAGCATCTTATACGTGGGGAAATACAGTAATATTAATGAAGGTTATTCACAATAGGTATCACCAGTCAACACTGGCTGTAAATCTTTTTTGTTTTAATGGGCCATCTGATTTCCCTTCTGTCTGTAATTTTCCAATCTGGAAAAACTCCCAGTTTTCTTTCGTTATTTGATCAAGTAATGAAACTATTTTCACTCTTCATAAGTTTCCCTTCGTTAACTGTGTTGTACCCTGGGAGTATTAAAAAATACTGTATTTAAATGTATCCGGTTATTTCCTAGTTAGGCCTTGGCTGGGGTTCTAAGAACAATGCTTGCTTGGTGATGTTAGTCACCCTCAGCTGATGTTGATAGTGATTCATTCAGACTGGCAGGCAACCAGATGATTGTTACATAAATACTAATACTCCTAGTAAAAGGTTTTTTCTGTGGAGGTGTCATCAGTATTATCCAGGAGCCGTGTTGGGCAGTGTATTCCTGATGGAGAAAGGGATATGCTATGTGAATTCCTGAAACCCACAGATACACTCAAAGTTCATTTACGTTAATAGTATCAACCTCATGCCTTAACCACACCTTTTGTTGCTCAGAAAAAATGGACTCTTAGAATTTCGGAGCTGAAGAAGTCCTTGGAGATCATTTGGGCTGATTCTCTCTCTCTCTCTCTCTCTCTCTCTCTCTCTCTCTCTCTCTCTCTCTCTATATATATATATATATATATATATATATATATATATATATA